CTCCCCCCAAAAGATTATTCTTGATGTACAAAAAAAGTATCATAATCTTTGCTTCGAATGTAGGTTTTTTAAAATTTAAAAATTTTTAATTTTTAGAGAGAGGGGAAGGGAGAAAGAGAAGAAGATAAACATTGATTGGCGGCTTCTCGTATGCACCCAGATTGGGGACCGAACCTGCAGCCCAGGCACGTGCCCTGACTGGGAATCGAACTGGTGACTTTGCAGGAGGATGCGAGATCAACTGAGTCACACCTGGGTCGGGGCGGATGGAGGTCATTTTTAACATTAGGGAACCAGGAGAACTAGGAGTCTCATTTTGTGAAACTAAAAACGTATGAGTTTCAGCAAGACAGGTTTGTGGTGACACGCGGTATAATTTCTGGGCCAGTTTCAGTACTTGGTTGCGCACAGCCTGCATCCTTGCTGGGGACTTGGGCCTCAGAAATGGAATCACTCTGCCGACTGATGCTGGGCGGAGGCCTGGAGTTGTTTGAGAAAGAGAGCATTTCCCGTGCCCATCACCCCAGCACCTGGGGTGAAAGGTGAGCCAGGAGAGCCGTGCTGTTGACAACTGTACCTTTCCATGAGGAAGGGGGTTTCTCAGAACCACAGATGGGTTTTGTTAGACCTCCAGACATGTTCGTTCGCCGTAGTATGAAAGTCTCAGAAGACTCACCTTTAGTAGCTCTTGCAGGGTCTTAGCTGTTGGTCAGCTAGTTCATCCCACTCTGAAGGACGAACTATTTCCCGGGAGGCCCTTTGGGACTCACAGAGAAAGGATTTTGTGGCCCCTCTCTGGGTTCTGGGGCCCAATGTCACTACGGTGGTGGCTGGGGTGTCCCCTCCCAAGAAGATGTTCTTTAACACCAGCTGGCCGTCCTACAGTTCCACCCAATCCAGACACCACCTGGCCGGAGGTAGCGTGAGATTCCACAGGTTGACGGCTCCGTCCTGTGAGACTGTCCCTGTCCTCCGCCACCCCCGTTCCAGCCCCCAGCCCAGCCTTCAGCAGACTGGTCACTAGCTGGTGGTTCCAGGGACCCCTCCCACGCAGAATGCCCATGGCGAGTCCAGCCGGTCACCTGTGCTTCTGACTGACTGGCTGTAAGTCAGACGTGCCCATGACCTTCTTCTCAGGTTCAGTGAATTGGCTACAGCGTCTCACAGAACGCAGAGAAACGTTTTCCTTGCTAGACTGCCAATTTGTTGTACAAGGACACAACTCAGGACCAGCTGGGAGGGAGAGGTGCACAGAGCCAGGGCTGTGGGGAGGGGCCAGCTGCCCCCGCCCCGACTCCTTTCCTCTCCTTTACAGCAACGTTTCTCGAAAAAATTGTCTATAATCAGTCTCCACTCCCTCTCCTCCCGGCCTCTCTGTCTATTCCAAACAGACTGTCCTCCACCCCACTCCACGATGACAGCTCTTGTCCACCTCCTAAAGCACACCCCCCCCTCCAGTTGTCCAATTCTGTGGTCCATTCTTGGTTCTCTTCCCCGCCACGTTGGCTGTATTTGATGCAGCAGAAGGGCCCCTTCCTCCATGGCATGCCCTCTTGGCTTTGGGCCACCTCTCTCTTGGTTCTCCTTCTAACTTGTTGACCACTTCTGTTCACTCCTCTCCTCCCCCGGCCCCCCCCCCAAACATCGGACAACCCAGGGCCCAGCGCTCCGACCCCTTCCCACCCAACTCCTGGCTCAGTGATCTCATCCAATGGCCGGACTTGGGTGAATTCCAAATACCTGTCCCTGGCTCAGACCCCGCCCTGGATGAAAGACTCACGGGTCCGGCCCCGACGGCGTTTTTGTGCTGCTGATAAAAAGCTGCCCCTTTCCGCGAGCTCTGGACTGTTCTGGAACCGTTCAGGGGAAACACACGCCTCTCAGAGGAGCTGGACTGTGTCTCCTGCCGCTGTGCGGCCTCAACCGCTCTCAGCAGCCATCTCTCCACCTCCTCGGGCTGGGAGGACAGCGGCCTCGCGGCTGGGCCCGATTCCCAGCCCCCAACCCTCACGCCCCTTCCTTTTAGTCTTTTCTGTTTCAAAGTTCTTCCCCTTGGCGAGGTCGAACTTCTTGAAGTTACCCTTGACTCTGCTCTTTCTCCCATACGCCACCTTCGATCCACCAGCAAATCTTGTTGGTTTTCCCCTGTTTTCGAATGCATTCGAAATCAAGCACAGCTCACCCCTCCCGCTGCCGCTACCCTGGTCCGAGCCCCACCCTCGGCCGCCTCCGTTATTCCCAAAGCCAGCTTCCCCTTCGGCCCCCCGTGGTCAGTTCCCAACACAGCGGCCACCGGCATCTGGCTGGAACCCAGGGCGCATCGCGTTTTCTCTCCACCCCAAACCCTGGTGTGCCGCTCGCTCGCTCGCTCAGAGTACACCTCAGTCCTGAGAATGGCCCACAGCGCCTGCGCAGCCCAGGCCGGCCCTGCGGCGGGACCGCCTCTCCTACCCGCGCTCCGTGCGCCCCGGGGCCTCCACGCCGTCCCTCCAGTACGCCCGGCGCACGCACGTCCGCTCCCGGCCGGGTGCCGGGGGTGCTTCCCCCTCCTTTTTCGAGTCTTGGCTCCAGTGTCACTGTGTCATGTCAGAGAAGCATGAGACAAAGTAACCCCTCTCCCGCCACACTGGTGCACACACACCCCCCTGGTTACTGTTTCTTGTCATTAGAATCTAAGCTTCGTGAGGCTAGACACCTATATTTCTCCCGCCTCTGCTACATTCCCGCTTTCTGAAACAGGGTCCGTCTGCTGAGTAGGAGTCCCACACACCTTGGTCAATGCGTCGCTACATCGACCTGTGGGAGACTGTCGTTAAAAGGACACAAAGAAAGGTTCGAGTGGTTTTGCCCAGCTGTAATCTCTCAGTGCCAAGGCACAGGCATTTTCGGGAGTCCGGGGATGGGTTTAAATCTGACTTGACAATGGCATTGATTGTTCACAACGGCCTGAAGGGCAAGAGGTTCCTACGGAGAAAGCAAGCAGGCGCCATCTAGTGGCAACGAGGGAGGACCACACTTGCGTTCGTCCCTGATTGAGAAGCTTGTTAATTAATTCTGTGCAAGCAATACTTAGGACAGCCATAATTCTCAAGTGCGATTTCACACAGAATTTATCGATCTAAAATACAGTTCCACGTCTTCTGAATTATTTATGACTCATTTCTACTTTATTACTTTTTGCTTTCTGGGATTTGACGTCCTTTGTTCCTCTTTATTTTTCCTCTTATTTTTATTCTCCACTTTTCTTTATATTCTTCGGTTCACACTGTACCGGCCTAGCCACCGAGTGGGCGGATCCAGACTCCGTCTTCCGAGGATGTATATTCTAATAAAAGCAGCCCCCGTGAGGGGGGAGGTGGGGAGCTGGCCCAGGGCTGCGGCAGCCTCGTGGGCCCAGACTTCAGAAGCCCCAGGAGGCTTTGGGGTCGAGTGTGTCTCCACCACCGGGCCATGAGCTTCGGAGTCGTGGCGTGCTGTTTTCCAGAAAGTGCGCATGTAATTACATAGAGAAACAAAGAAAGCGGCATTCATGCCCATGCACACTGGCAGGAGAGACAAAAATGAAAGTCTGTGTCCGTCAAACTGTCCGATAGCTGGGCCCTCCCAACGCTTGGTCAGTTACAGCGGAAGCTCGTCCGCCCACTTCCGGGGCCGCGTGACCCAGCCCCCAGCAGCCAGGGTGGCGCTGGGCCGGGTGTGCTGCCACCCGGCGGCCCCAGGGGTGGTCGGACTAGCGGGGCGGGGCGGGGCTGGGTGGCGCGAGAGGCCAGGAAGAGGGCCTAGCACCCGGTGGATGCCTCGGTTTTGCTTTTGTTTTTGTTTTTGTTTTGTTTTGAGCGCTGTAGCTTGAAGCCATCTTTTCAGTCTCTGCCTTTCCTTTTGCTTTAAAAGAACGTTAGCACTTATTGCGTGCTGCCCGTGTTTACATTTTTCCTCGGTGATGTAATCTCTACCCCCCCCCCCATGCTCAGCTACTTGAAGACAGGGGGCCCCAAGCTTGCCTGCCTATGGCCTCGCTATGGTGGGCACAGGTTACATATTTGGGGTGGGGGTGGGGGGGCCGCTAATGGTGGTCTCAGCTGGCGTCTGGCCCCAAGCAGCCCCAGTGGAGCGGTGCTTCAGCTAGTTATTCGAGAAACTGCAACATTTGTTAAGATGTGTGCCCTTGTAAACATAATAAATGTTTGAGGTCCAATAGTACCATCTTCTTTTGAGTTGTGTTATCACTCACCTGATACCAAGGAAAGCAGGTATAGAAACTGATAGTACAGCAGTTCGTAGGATGCTACTGGAATTTATAAAAAACAAAATTTCTGCTTATTGTACAGTTATTTTACAGTTTTTTCCTTCTGCCTACAGATAATCGTTATTTTTAGATCGCAGGTCAATATTTTCTTTGATGTAATACCCTTTGTTTCCTTGAAGGAAATAGCTTTTAAGTTACAGAAATGGATGTGGTATTTGGAATAGCTAAATTAGTTGTAAAGTGAAACCACTCCCCATATTCTTTCTTTTTAAAGAATTAGCCAAGCTCTGTTTCTAAATCTTCTTGCCTTCGGACGCTGCATTTGTATAACTTAGGATTTAGGATTCCATCGTACTGAGGTGCTGGTCCTGGTCGAGGACGCTCTAGTAGGGTCAGTGGCCAGGCTCCGCATGTGCTGTCCATGGAATTTCTCTGACACTCAGGTGCTGTTGTTTGTTTTATCATTCGGAGGACGCAAATTCTAAGTTATTGAATAGGCTAGAGGTTTAAGGACTGCTTGTAGGACTTAATTGCTTGCCTCAACATGAGCAAATTTAGCGCCCTTGGCCTTTGTACCGTGTTCAATATTTCTAAGGTGTTAACTGTGCCTGTTTGTATAACTGCTGTGTTTTCCCATTTTCATGGGTTAAGAGACAGTATTGGATACTGTGACTTGTAATTAAAGACACATCGTTTCCTTCTACCTAACTTCAAGAGTGAATGACTTAGGTTGTATTCATTTGTCTTTTTGTAGAATATGCTGAATTTCTTCATTGCAAAGGAAAAAAGTTTACAGATTTCGATGAAGTTCGCCATGAGATCGAAGCAGAGACGGATCGCGTGACCGGCATGAACAAGGGCATCTCTTCCATTCCCATCAACTTACGAGTCTACTCCCCCCATGGTAAGGAAGTAATAACCAACTTCTTGTCCTCAAATGCTTATGCTGCATTAACTAACACCCGTTATTTGTATAGAAGATGGTTTGTTTTCTCGAAAAATACCAGGCTTCTAGAACAGTGTCTGGACACCCCGCCATGACCGCTATGGTCCGAAGAGCTCATCACAGGTTTGTTTACGGGGAGGCAGGAAGAGATGACTTTTCAAAAGATCAAAATTGAGTAAGTCATTAAAAATTTGTTCTTTATGTTTATTTTAAGCCTTTTGAATTCCAAAGAGGCATACAGAAAAACTTCCATTTTTAAAATATCTTCAGTCTTTGCGAAAACGCTTGCTGCTGCGGTTGAGTCTTCGCTGTTGGGTTCTCCCGCAGCCCACATGTTCTCTGGTTGTCTTCCTGGGCACCCGACTGTGCCCTGTTCTCCAGCCTCCCAGCGGCCACTTGTAACGCAAAAAACCAATTCGTGGTGTGGGGTGGGGAATGGTCTCTGTCCTGACTAAATTTCTAGCAGCGTGTTTTTTTTTTTTAAAGATTTTAGTTATTTATTTTTAGAGAGGGAAGGGAGGAAGAAAGAGAGAGAGAGAGAAACATTGATGTGCAGTTTCTGGGGGCTGTGGCCTGCAACCCAGGCATGTGCCCTGACCGGGAATCGAACCTGAGACGCTTTGGTTCGCAGCCCGCGCTCAATCCACTGAGCTATGCCCGCCAGGGCTTCTAGCAGCATGGATTTTAATCTGCCATCTTCCATCCGGGTCTGTGGCTTGTCCAGCAGAGCCCAAACAACATGGGCTCCATGACAATGTCCCCAGAAGACAGGGTGGCGATGCTCCCTTGTGCAGGGGACAATGGCCAAGTCGGGGATGCGTCACTGAGTCGGGGGCAGTTTCCTGCTCTCCTGAATGGAGCCCCCTCCCTGAGACCGGCCGTGTAGGCCCCACAGTAACCTCACGGCACCATGAATGGCCAACAGCTTTCCCCCGGGCTAGGAGGCTCCCCACCTGTAAATAACACGCGATGCTTTTGATGGGAAGGGCAGACCCTACCCTGAGAGCTGGATGCCACTTGAAGGCCGGCAGTGCATGCACATCTTGTTCAGTGTTTACTTGTAGCCCCCCCCCCCCCCGCGATGGGTGTGACATCACTTCCTCCGTGGGGAAGCTGCCAGGCATACAAATCAGTGCCTTTCAAACCACATTAAAATGATCACTTGCCACCGCACAATCATATCATAAAAACAGCGAAAGCTTGCAAAGCCGTTTTGTGTTCTTTGCTTTTTATCCCGCGCCCGTGAGTTGGGGTTGTTCAGATGCAGCGTCTGTAAAGCGGAGGGTTCTACATCCCCCCTGACGGGACAGGGGAGGCTGCGTCGTCGGCGTCTCTTAGCTCAGAGGGCGCCTGGGACACTCCTCCTTTCTCCCTTGCGCGCAGTGTTAAATCTCACCCTCATCGACCTGCCGGGGATCACGAAGGTGCCCGTGGGAGACCAGCCGGCCGACATCGAGCATCAGATCAGAGACATGATCATGCAGTTCATCACGCGGGAGAACTGTCTGGTTCTGGCTGTCACCCCGGCCAACACCGACCTGGCAAACTCAGACGCGCTGAAGCTGGCGAAGGAGGTGGACCCGCAAGGTGAGTGCGTGGTCCCAAGGGTGGAAGGGGGTCGGTCAGTGGACAGTGTCAAGAGCTTGGCTGTCTTTCCAAGTGACACCAGTTCTCATAACTTGAATTCCTCATTAGTCAAATTTGCCATGATTAATATTGTGTGAGGGCTTGTGGATGTAAGGTGCTGAAAGGAAAGTAACGAAGGACTAAAGTCTAAACCTGTGCAAAAAATGGTAAGATGAACTGAGATCTAAGGAAATAGGCATTTCTAACCTTCATGAAATACTTTTGAAAAGCCAGTGAAATAAATTTCTGGTACAGAGTTCAAGCAGTATTCATAGTTATTATGAGAGTTAGGTGAATATACTCCTAATAAAAAAACCTGTTTTTTATTTCTTTACAACAGGAAGCTCTTTTAACGCATGGAAGATATTTAGCTTAACAGGAATGTATCTGATATTGGTATTGTAGAATCCAGGAAAGTCCCTTATTTAAGCTGATGTCTGTTTTTTTAAAATTTCTTTCTCTGGGCTGAGTAATAATTTATCTCCAGAGACTCCAGTGAGGGTCTTCGTATGCATCTCTTTCAGCTAATTACAGACGTACGGACACTCAGTGATGTGCCTGGTCAGCATGGAGAGGCCTGGCCTCCAGTTCTAGGAATTCTTCTCTTTTGGTCATTAATTGTCCCCATTTTCTGCGTTTTCCTTATCTGGAATTCTTATCATTAGCACATTAGAACTCTGGGATTAATCCTCATTTTTTGGGGGGGGGGCGGTGGTCATCTGTTTCCTCGTCTCTTCTCCTTTCTGCAGGATTCACTCAACTTTCCCCTCCGCTCCTCTAGTGACATTTTCATTCCTGATGTAGTATCCTAAGTTCCAGCAGCGTTTTCCTATTTTGTGAATGTTATTTTTGTTTTTTTTTTTCTAATACTTTCAGCTCTTGGTTTCTGGTGCGCACTGCCCTCTCTAAAGGTTTGAATGAGAGCCGTTCGAGGTTCCCATCTGGAATCCACAGCGGCTCTGCATCCCTTTTCCCGGGTTGGCGGTTTGGGTCGTTGTCTTTGGCCCCAGAGACCTTTGTCGGATGCTCGGCGACCTTTCGCTGCTCCTTCAGGTGTAAGAGCAGGGCACCAGAAAGCTGAGGGGCGCTCCGTGTGTGCCTGAGTGGGAGTAGCTGATCCTACATGCGATAGGGCGACTGGCTGGCTGCTCGGCCCCCCTGCGATTGTGGGGGGTGGGACCAGGGAACCCTCCGACACCACGGATCTCACTGTTCTTGCCGGGATTCGGCCAGTCTTGTTGGGGGAACACCTTTCAGTTTGTCGTCAGCCTTGGGTTAATTTCCAGAGTTCTGAAAAAGTTCATTTTGACAATTTTTGCCTGTGTTCTTCTTACTGCGTTTCTGGAGGAATGGCCTCTTTTAGAGGCTCTGATTCCGCCGTTTCTTATTCCATTTCCTTACTCCTCCTTCTGATTGAATACAACGTTACTTATCGGGAAATGTTCATTCGGGAGACGGTTGAACTGGGGTCGCGAGGGAAATCCGGTCATGACCTCTGCTACGCCATTGACCTTCACGGTGGCCGTGGCGGCCAGGCCAGGGGCCTTGATCTCCACACTGGAGATGTGTGTCTCCCCTGAGGTTTGTCCTTGCTGAACAAGGATGACCTATTTAGATAAGAGACGACCATTTTCTACTCCGGGAACCTGAATTATAATCTGATCCACCAAGGTACATAATTATACGGTCTTCTGAGAGGTGGTCTATTTTAGGCAGTAGCTCCTTTGTGCTAAATGGAGGCCATTTTCACCTTTGGGTGTATTTAAATATATACTTGGGGAGGAAGTTCATGTTGATAAGTTAGTATTAAATTATTTGCATAATGCTATTCAAAAGGAAAGCTTTTTAAAAAGTGAATGTTTTAGAAAATATGTATGTTATATATTAAAAATAAGTTTTATGATGAATTATTCTCCCAGTATAGGCTGGATGTCACAAATGTGTGGCTAGACAAAGCTCACACTAATCTTTCGCCTCATTTGTGAAGCATGTGTTGCTGACTAAGTGGGAATTTTTGGTACAGCTTCCAGGGGAAGGGCTGCCCAGCGGGTGGAGACAGAACATCGGAACAGCGTGGAGAGAGCGCGGGTGCGAGGGAGTGCTACTCTAGACGCATGCGCGGTGAAAGCGGCGTTCCAGCGGGGAGCTGCGGATCGAGGGGGCGGGCCCTGTCACTTCCGGAGGTGGAGCCTGCCAGGCCCAGGGGGCAGCGAGCACGAGGGCACAAGGGACCGGGAGCGGACCTGGCTCCTCGGGTTCAGGGACAGCAAGGAGGCTATTGAGGACGGAGCCCCGTGAGAGGGCGGGGAGCGTAGGTTCTGCCATCAGAGGGGTGGACAGGCCCCAGATCCTGTGCGGTCTTCTGGGCCGTGGCAAGGAGGGTACTTCGCGCCAAGTGTGGTGAGAAGCGACTCGAGGGTTCGGAGCAGAGAGAGGGAAGATCCGATGTGTGTTCTCACGGGGCGGTCTGCCTGCTGCGAGGAGAAGCGACCGAACGAGGGGCCTGCATAGAGACGGGGGGAGCCGTCAGATACGCCTGCAAAGGGGTCCGGGGTGGGGGGACATCGGTGGGACCCGCAGTAACAGAGCAGTGGGCCGGGGAGACGCAGTCAGGGCCCAGACACACCTGGAACGTGGAGCTCTCAGGGTGCTGGTGTTTTGCCGCAAGTGAGAGCAAGAAGTCAAGGGCGACTCAGTTTTGATTGGAGGAACCGATTAAGGGGTAATGTTACTTACTGCGATTAAGAATATTAGGAGAAGAACATGTTTGGGGAGTAACGAAGAGTCTTATTTTGGAAATGTAAGATTTGAAGTGTTTATCAGTAGTGATGCTCGAGACGGGAGTTTGGGGGAGAGTTTCAGGCTGGAGCGGTGACTCTGGGAGCTGTCAGCCTGGAGGTGGATAGCAAGTCGGGTGGTGTCTCCCAAAAAGACGGGTCCGAGGCCTATCTCCCCCACTCCCGGCCCCACTGCCGTACCTGTAAATGGGTTCTTATTTGGAGACAGGGTCTTTGCAGATGGAACTACGAATCTCGAAATGAGGTCCTCCTGGATTTAGGGTGGATCTGCGAACCCCAGTGCCCGTCTTTGTTGGAGAAAAGAGAGGGAGAGCTGAGAGGGACACACAGGGAGGGCCGTGTGAAATGCTGGTGGAAACCAGGGTGATGCTGCCACCACCCAGGAAGCAGGGGCCACCAGAAGGCGGAAGAGGCCAGGAAGGACCCTCCTCCGGGGACTTTTGAGGTGGTCGGCCCTGCGGACGCCCGCACCTCAGACTTCCACCGCCAGCACTGTGAGACAGTGAGGTCCTGCTGCCTGGAGCCACCCGTTTGTGGTGACGGGTGGGGACCGCCCTGGGGAGCTGGTTCAGATAGTATCTGACTCGAGAGTTGACATCCTGGGAGAGACCCATGAAGACAGAGGCGAGGAGGAGGAGGACTGAGGAAATAGCCCTGGTGAAGGGGAGGGGAAAACAGCAGGGGCGACTGAGCAGGGGGTGGGGGGTGGGGGTAGAGGGCCACATGGTCGTCCGGGGGCCACAGGAAGAGGGTCTCAAGAAGGGCAGAGTGATCAGCCGTGTCCACTGCTGCAGAGAGATCCGGGAGGGGGACTGGGGAAGGTCAAGGCCGAGTGTACTGCTCAGACAGTGTGAGGAAGCCCAGTGACACAGCGAGGCCTGGGACACGGGGCTGGTCACTGGGACGGCGAGGTTTCCCTTCCACCGTCCGGAGGCGGTGCATCCGGCCTCCCGGCGGAAAAGGCAGGGCGGCCGCAGGTGTCTTTCCGGCTCGGCGGTCTCCCCAGTGGCCCCCGCAGGCTGTGTTCCCCTTCACACTTCAAGTTCTCCTCCGAGAGGAGCTGGGGCAGGGCCGGGATGCAGCATCCATGCAGGGACCTGCGCTCCTAGCCCGAGGGTCCTTTCCCCGGCTTGCTGAAATACTCGGTAGTAAGCAGAAGCAAAGCCGCCTTGAACTTGGTCTAAGTCGTCTCTGCTTCCAGTCTCTGTATCTGGGCTGGACTCTTAGGTTCCCATCTAATGGAGATGAGGGCAGAGAGCGGCCCCTCGGGCTTGGCACGTGGCAGTCGTGGTGCCCGGGATAAGAAGGGTTGTAGCAAAGAGGGGGTTCTGAAGGAGACTTGGACGGGAGCAGCTGGAACAGAATACGGACCGAGACTCTTCCAGGTTTCACCGTGGAGACAAACAGGAGAACGGGACACTCAGTCGTTTGAGGCCAAGGGAGTGTTTTTGGAAGCTGGGGGACTCGATAGCAGGTCTCTGTGTGGAAGAATGGCCCCGAGGGGAGAGAGACCGGGCGATGAAGGACCGCGAGGGGGTGAATGCAGGAGAAGCAGGACTCAGGCTGGGTACATGCACGAGAAGAATGCTTGGCTAAGGGGTGGGGGCTGTAACGTGGGGCGCGGGCGGGAGTCACTGACCGCTGACCCACACCGGAGAGGGCTGGCTTGCTTCTCCACTTGGACGGCACCTCTGGGTGCAGCCGAGGTGGGGCGGTGAGATCGACGGCTGGGGGGCGGGGTCGCACTGAGTGCGTTTATGATGGTGTAATGTCTCCTCCGCTGGTAGGGTCTAATGGCCACCCCATAAAAACACCCCGTTTACGCGGCTCTGGGACGCAGCGAGGAGGGACGCCGACATCGTGTGTTTTATGGACCCTGCTTCGCCTTGGGGGAGCCGTTCATCACCCGGGGGCCCTCGCGATACCCGTGCAGGCGGGGGCGGTGCTGGCTCGTCTCCCACTGCGGTGCGCTCGCTTTCCTGGGCGCGCGACTCGCCGCGCCCTGCCTGACTCCGCCCGCCCGCCCTCCCGCGCCTTTCACCCCCTGCGCGGCAGCGTCTCAGCGTTACCCTCCGCTTGGCCTCTGCCCGCGGGGCTGCTCGGAGGCCTCACCAGGGAGACCGGTGTGTCTGGAAATTCTTTTCACGGTGATTTCCCTCCCAG